TCTTGAAAAACAAAACGTAAATGTAATGTTTGTACTTGAATATAAACCTAAACTAAATTAAACTGAATCAACTTTTAAAATATCTATCAATCTATCAACTTTGTTTTGCTTGCTTGTCCTTGCTCGGGTCTTGAACGTAACAAACCGTTGAGGGAAACCCAGAATTCTGCTTTCCACCAACACTCCCCAGCTCCTCGTGGTATCCCAAGGCATTCCTAGGCCACACACGATATGTAATCTCTTAAATTTATTTTCCATCTCCTCCCAGGAGATATAAAATTGGTACAAGCCTGATAAACCCCCAGAAGGTGGTACCTAGAAGACTCCTTATTCAGATGCCCTGACCACCAGAGTCGACTCCATTTGATATGGAGAAGCATCTGCTTTATTCTGCACTAAACTCTAAAGGTCCCTATCAAAAATTGGGTTACCAGTTGAAGAGCTTTAAAAATAAGCGATGAGCTAACGTCCATTCTGGTGTGTGGCTGCATCTAGGCCTAGAAAGTTCACTTGTCAAAAATTAGGTTGTCATGTCAATATCCAATATGGCTGCCTTAATATAATGTGTGTCCATAAGGCCTATTATTTGAAAAGCTTAAAAAATAAGCAATATGTTGACTTCCACTTTGACGTGTGGCTACATCTGTGTGTAAGAAAGGTAATTATTGAATATTTGGTTGTCACATCAAAAGCCAATATAGATGCTTATAGGTCTTAAAAGTATAGTGTCCATAAATGACTGGGGTGGCTGGTGGGGTGGCCAAAGATTAATCTACTGTGGCCTAGGCTACTACTGGCCAACTTCTGGTAATGCCACTGCATCTGGTGGTTGGTCAAATTGATCCCTCCACTTGTCAGGAACCCTCACTTTGTGCTGCCTTGGACAAGTAAAAAATAATACCTACCTCTGTTTTTATAAACCATGTGAATTATACCAACTTGAATACAATGCACCAAAAACATTAAGGTTTATTTGCATTGCCTAATCAATTCCAGTATGGGAAAAACACTATTCTCAAAATCTATACACATTTAATATTCAAATTGCCCAGCCAGTGCCATAAGCATACCACTTATTTTTTGGTCCTTTTCCAGCTTTTATGACCATAGATGAGGTTTGAAGCTCAGTAGACTAGTAAATCAAGAGCTTTGCCTTCTAGCTCAGCTCCCACTTCACCACAACAAACTGGAACGACACTGATTATTGCAGATAAAGCCCCAATCTGTCAGTCTATCTCCTGCTCCGCCCTGCAATCACACTGGAACAAAACTTCTAGATACTTGAACTTGATACTTGAACACTTGAGGCAAAGACAATGTATTTGCTACAAAATATACTTTGTTTAATGTCAGGATTTCAATCTTCTTAAACGGATACACAAACTAAATATAATGGTTATCAGCGATCTACAGCTATAGTGTTTGTAATCTTTATTCAAATTCAACAACCATTTCCCCATTTTTAAGACAAGCATACACAATTCCGCGTATGAAGAGCTAATGAAATACATCCACATAAACAGTACTACTTTGCATTTATTTTATTGATTAAAAAAAACAACATTATTCAGCATATTTGAAAATATACAGAAAATGCTTTCAAAGTCCCTTTTACCGTGTACCACAAACTTCATTTTGATGGATGTATACAGTTTAGTATCTGCTGATACATTTTTCATAAAAGCCGGAGAAGCGTTTTGCATATTTCACATAATTCAACGCAATTGTAAAGCAAGAATAAATATGATAAGGACTTTGGAATTTGGCATGGAAGCACTTTGCGTTAACACAGATTAGGCATTTGTATGCACGGTGGAAGTGCATGTGAAAATCTGCTGTAATGAGAAAGGTGCTTGAGCAGCAGGTGCACCCTCCTATCACCCTGTTATTGCTCACTGATTAAGCAAACAGCCCCATATTAATACAGAAGGCTGGGGCTGATGCCAGGGTATTTATGTGTGTGTGTGTACGTTTGTGTGCTAAGCATGTCTAAGAAACACCAGATGTGTGTGTGTGGAAGGTGGGTAAGACATCTTGAATATAATCCTACTTAATTTGTCAACAGTTCATGTTTTGTTTTAACTCAGTGGTGCTGTAAGAGGGGACTCAGTTTGCCTGCATGATTGTGTTTGTGTCTGTTGGTAAATGGGTGCTTGTGCATCAGGAGCAAACACCACACAACCCCCTAATTGAATTCCTTCTTGTTTGTTGCTCATCCTTTATTGGAGCGTTTTGGCATTCTGTGGCAAACAGGTGGGCCGTCACTCCTTCACTGTTGCTCCTGCAGACGCACATCTCGGTAAATTAGATGACACATCTGAAACGAGTTAATAGCTGCCGGTCTTTGATGCCAGTAATTAAGAGTCATTGTTGGGATAATGGAATTTGACATTCCCCGGGGGTGAAATAAAATTAACACATGGTTATCAACTTTTTTGTTAAAAAAAAAAATCAGTTTTAACTGCTTAGTCTATTGTGTGTAAGTGGAACGTTAGCGCTAATCCTCTTTGTCTGCTGCAAATTATTTGACATAATTGTTTTTTTGCATATAATTGCCTTTTCGTATTAGCAGTTGTTTAGACAATTGTAAAAGCAAAGACAATGTGCAAGATCATCCAGATCATTTTTAATTAATTTTTATTATGATGCTTCAGAAGTTCTTCTGAATTTCAGGGTCCTAGCATGACTGGATTTTTTTTTCTTCTTTTTTTTTTTTGCATTTTTGTCCAGGTCTGGATAAGTAATAAACAAAATAATAATGTAGTATAAAAGGGGCTTTCCTCATCCATTTTTTTTTTTTTTAAGAGACAAAGGACATTGTAAAGTTATTCTCAAAGTATTCAATTTCAGCACTTCTAATGACAGTTGTACGAATGTTATTTAAAGTTTATTTTATGAACTATACTTGGACCTGCCATTCTGTGTTTGTTTCTCCTTCCTGTCCTGACAAATCCCAGCTGGCCAAAGCAGACGTCTGCTCATCCTGCGTCTGGTTCTGCTGGAGGTTTTTTCCTGTTAAAAGGGATATTTTCCTTTCCACTGTTGCCTTTGTGCTTGCTCAGGATGGGAGACTGTGAAGAAGTGAAGATTCAACACAATCTGCTGATTCCATCCATCCATTAGCTTTTACCCACTTCTTCCATATTGGGTTATGGGGGGTTGCCAGTGCCCATGTCCAGCAATCACTGTGCGAGGGACGGGGTACACCCTGGACAAGTCACAAATCCATCACAGGGCCACATAGAGACAAACAATCATTCAGTCTGTCACTCACACCTAGGGACAATTTAGAGTTACCAATCTGCCCAACATACATGTTTTTGGTCTGTGGGAGGAAACCGGAGAACTCGGCGAAAACCCACGAATGAATGGAGAGAACATATAAACTCCTCCCAAAAAGACCCGCGGACCGGGATTTGAACCAGTGACCTGCTCGTTGAGAGGCAGCAGCTCTACCAGTTGCGCCACCGTGCTGCTTCTGCTTATTCCTTAGATAATCTTTACTAATTTGGTTTATTTTTTATGTATGTGGATGTTTTTGTACAGTTCCCTGAGATGGCTTCTCTTGTGACTTGGCACTATATAAATAAACTGAATTGAATTGAATGTAATTGTTTAAAATTGCCCAGACCACTTATCATAACTTGTTAGTCACATTTTATGTTCTACAGCTAATGGTGCTTATTTGTATCATGCTAAAATGAAACATAATTTTACAAAAAATCATGTTTGAATTGAACACAATGATTAACACAATAAACCTAGTTACTTTGACAAATATTGAGCTAAAATATGGTGTAATAGTAGTAGCTGAGAGTATACAACTCCTCAAGCAAGACAGCAGGTGATCTGTGATCCATTAAGGAAGGTGACTTTCATTTTATTGTTTGCTTTAGCAGGTAATAAAAAAAACAACAACAACAAAAAAAACCTGACATCTTTGCACAAATTGCAGAAAATGTATAATTGCATTATATAAATAAACACATAAACAAATAAGAAATAAAAAAAAAAAAATAAGTGCATCTTCTTTTTACATCAATGTTACCAACATTGACCAGAAAAAAAATTGACCAGCTGCAGTAGTCTCTCGTTAATTGCAGGGAATCCATACTCTGAAGCCCCACTATAAGTGAAAAACCGCAAAATAGGAATAGTGGTACAAGTAGTAAAGTAGTTTATAAATGTATATATATATATAAGGGTGGAGTTTGCATGTTCTCTCTGTGCATGTGTGGGTTTCCTCCGGTTACTCCGGTTTTCTCCAACAGACCAAAAACACGTATGTTAGGCTGATTAGTAACTCTAAAATGTCCCTAGGTGTGAGAGAGAGAGTAAAGGTTGTTTGTCTCATTTGTCTCTGTGTGGCCCTGTGATGGACTGGAGACCTGTCCAGGGTGCACCCTGCCTCTCGCACAGTTATAGCTGGACATGGGCACCAGCGAGCCCCGCGTTCCAAAAAAGAAGAAGCGGCTGCACTCTGCCACCTGCCAGCGGTCTTGGCCATGCCCACTTCTCCGTTGAAGAGTTGAGATATGAGAAGCTTTTTTCTGCAGCTTGTGCTGCACACAGGTGCAGCAGGTGCTAAATAATTTAAAATAATGTATATATAAAAAAAAGTCATGTCGATCGTGTGGCTCATCCAATAATCAGCCAGTTTTGTTTGAAGTCCGATCTCATTTTGAAAAACTGCGATAGAGTGAGTCTGCGAAAAACGAACCACAAAGTAGCGAGGGACAACTGTATTATGAAAATCTGATTATGGAAAATTAGCCTATGGAATTTTGAAATAGAGATTATGTAACTTGTAATAAGTTTAATCAATTTTATTATCTGACTGTATGATATTTTTGTTACGTGTACAACACTTTGGTCCTGTGGGTGTTTAAAGTGCTCTATAAATAAGCTGGTATGGTATGATATTGTGTAGGAATGTTGAAAGTTAAAAAACTAAGTATTGCTGAAGCAACAATAAACTAATGACATTATGTTTTGTCTCTGCTTCCCTCCAGAGAGCTCCGACCCAGGCAGAGAAAACCCAGGCTACTTAGCCTCCAACAGCAGTTCAGTGGCAGCTGCTATCCTAGTGCCTTTTATAGCCATGATCATTGCAGGCTTCGCTCTGTATCTCTATAAACACAGGTAAGGCATCATTTACACAGCCACCCAAGTTCTATTTAATTTTTTTTAATTGCTGTCTAAGGAAAAAAAAAATCTTTAAATTTTCTCCAAGGACACATTTGCATTAACCATTAGATTTATTTTTCTGTTCATATTTTAAATCCATAAAGATATATATTGACCTCATTCTGAAAAAAAAAAAGTTATTATAAGATGGTGAGAGAGTGCGTCTTCCTCCCTGCCTGAAAAACTAACTGGTTTATTACACGGAGACAGATTGAAGTAATAATGAGAGAGTAAAATTGTAATGTTCACAGTGGGGGAAGGGGGGCAATTTAAATGGATTTTATAACTGTATAAATCACTACAGCCGTATCCATACTCTGACACCTTTATCTGCTGCATAGTGAATGAAGACTGTTGGCCTGTCCTTGTGTAAATACATCCCATGGCTCATACTGAAACATTTTCATTTTAGAAGAAGACCCAAAGTTCCCTTCAATGGTTACGTGGGCCACGAGAACACCAACGGACGTGCTACATTTGAGAACCCTATGTATGACCGTAACATCCAGCCCACGGACATCATGGCCAATGAGACAGAGTTCACCGTGAGCACAGTGTGCACAGCTGTATAGCAACTGCTTCTTTAGGAGGTATAGTCCCTCTCACACTGATTTTTTTTTTCTTCTAAATATAAAGCAGTCAGGTTGTTTCTTTCATATTAGGATTCCTGTATTTAGTTTTTAACACCATTCCATTTAATGAAGTGTATACATTTTTGGAGCAAACATGCACTTTTCTGATGTTAAATGTAGGGATGCACAGATCCGATATTAGTATCAGTATTGACACCGATATACAAAACAATTCTTGATCAGGTATCAATGACAATGTGACCAATCCATAAGGACAGGAGCTGATTGCTTTTTATTTTGAATATCTGGCAACCAAGCTAGTGAAGCTATTGGTTTTTTGTGTTTTTTATTTTTATTTTAGCTCCTTTATTATTTATTTTACGTTATATTTAGAATTCCTGAACCATTTGAAAGGTTTGTTGAAGTTGATTTTTTTCCTGTTTGACCAAAGTTGTCAACCTATGTTTTATGTCAGTTTCAGTATCTGTTTTATTATTTATTTTACATTGGATGTTAAACTCATAATTACACTGACTGAACAAATTAAAGTTGTGCTGTTTTTTGCATGTTTGACAAAGCTTGTGAAGCTATTGATGTGTGCATAGTTTAAAAAAACAAAAACAAAGTAATTTAGTACATTTATGTCCGCGTTTAAAACAAACAAACAAACAACTATTTTAAGTTAGTTCAGCATTGTTTTTTACTGTATCAGATCGATATTGACTGATACTAAAGCTAAAGTATCGGTATTGGAAGTGAAAAAAGTAGTTCAATGCATCTCTAGTTAAATTAATGATGATGTCTTTTATATTTAGTTTTTTATAACATGTTTTGTATGAAACACCCCCCCGACCCCACCCCCACCCCAATTGTCTGATTTCCTGATTCAGTTAGGTAAAGAAAGCAGCACCACAACCTACGCTGCCTGCCAACAGAGGGCATCTGTAGTTCCTCGAGCAGATGGCAAGACAAAGATTATCATATTTGCCAAAACATCTTCGAGAAACATCAACAGTAGCAGAGGCCCTCACCTGCAGGAAACTGGACGAGAAACCATGCGAAGGCAACGACTTCTTCAAAGTTTAAGAGAAATGCTTTCTGTAACTTTACATGGTTTCTTGATTGTGTTCCATATTCTGAGGAGAAGCTTCCATCTGAACCTGCAGCCAGCAGGGAAAACTGCTGGAGGCAAAGCTGTGATGACTTTTCTCACCTCCCTTCAACTAAACCCAAAGGGAATTTTATGGTCAACTTTAAGTCGGTAAACGTAACGTGTAGCTAACAGAGAACTCTGCAATTTAACCACAGGGAGGACAACAAGTTGGTGCGCGGGAGGCAGAGAGAAACAGTCTGGGTGTTTAAATTTGTCCTCCATTGTGTTTTTCCAGTTTTTTTTTCCAAGTATGGTTTTCTATATTCTTTTATATGCTGTTTGCTTTCTGAAATGAGCAATTGGAAAACCTTTTATTTTTCCCCGACCCTCTGCTTTTGAGACCACTGGGGGTTTTCATCGGAGACTCCAAGCTTAAAAATTCAGTAGGGTTGAAGGCCGTGTTGGAGACACACTATCATAACGTCCTGAGCTTGGCATTTTTTTAAGCAATGATAAAACTTGCCCTTTGAGGAAGTTGAGTCTGGAAGGTCTAAAGGTAGCTGGAGCAGTAAGAAAAGCAGCACTTAGTTGGGGCGTAGAGAGATTATGTGAGACATACTATGTGTGCGTATTTCTGTACACATTTGTGGCTGCATATGCAGCAAACTGCATATCTTTTTTATGTATTTTATTTTAAGAACACTGGGCTGAGTAGTATAAATATACAGTATCTCCATATGAAGCTCTGCAAACCAGGTATTTCAAGTCTCTGCACAGAAAATTAGATAACGTATAGGATCACTCAGCCCTCTGTGAATAGTAAACAGCCATCAGTGTGCTAATGATCCATTGTTAGGCTGATGGTCCTTCTTGAGCATGTGATCAGCTGGTTTTGGTTGTCAGCAGCAAACTGGTTGATCCACTCTGAGAAGGTGCTATTTAAGAGACTGAGCTGAATACAGCTCCTCAGACTGAGGAAGTCTCTTGGATGAGAGATGAAACGTTTCTACA